TTCGAGTTATAAGTTTTTCGAGCCCACTACGGCTTCTTATCAACAATCTCACAAGTTTTGAAGAAATTGAATGTGGGAATTATAAAAAGCCAATTTCCGTTCTATAATGCTGTTGTGTCCAATAAAAATTGATTTAGAAAATGTTTTCCCAAGTGAGACTTAAATTTAAGTCCGAATAAATATTCAATTGGTAATGATTATTATTAATAAGTTTAAAAGCACTAAACTAATTTTCCGCTAGACTACAAACTAGACTATAGACTGTTGACTACATAGTAGACTATGCTATAAACAGAATTATAGACTAGGCTAGTCTATAGGCTATACTAAAGACTATAGAGACTAGATTATAGACAAGACTATAGATTAGTCTATAGACTAGACTATAGACTAGACTATAGACTAGACTATAGACTAGACTATAGACTAGACTATAGACTAGACTTTAGACTAGACTATAGACTGGACTATAAAGACTAGACTATAGACTAGACTATAGACTAGACTATGGACTAGACTATAGACTAGACTAGACTAGACTATAGACTAGACTATAGACTAGACTATAGACTAGACTATAGACTAGACTATCGACTAGACTATAGACTAGACTATAGACTAGACTATAGACTAGACTATAGACTAGACTATAGACTAGACTATAGACTAGACTATAGACTAGACTATAGACTAGACTATAGACTAGACTATAGACTAGACTATAGACTAGACTATAGACTAGACTATAGACTAGACTATAGACTAGACTATAGACTAGACTATAGACTAGACTATAGACTAGACTATAGACTAGACTATAGACTAGACTATAGACTAGACTATAGACTAGACTATAGACTAGACTATAGACTAGACTATAGACTAGACTATAGACTAGACTATAGACTAGACTATAGACTAGACTATAGACTAGACTATAGACTAGACTATAGACTAGACTATAGACTAGACTATAGACTAGACTATAGACTAGACTATAGACTAGACTATAGACTAGACTATAGACTAGACTATAGACTAGACTATAGACTAGACTATAGACTAGACTATAGACTAGACTATAGACTAGACTATAGACTAGACTATAGACTAGACTATAGACTAGACTATAGACTAGACTATAGACTAGACTATAGACTAGACTATAGACTAGACTATAGACTAGACTATAGACTAGACTATAGACTAGACTATAGACTAGACTATAGACTAGACTATAGACTAGACTATAGACTAGACTATAGACTAGACTATAGACTAGACTATAGACTAGACTATAGACTAGACTATAGACTAGACTATAGACTAGACTATAGACTAGACTATAGACTAGACTATAGACTAGACTATAGACTAGACTATAGACTAGACTATAGACTAGACTATAGACTAGACTATAGACTAGACTATAGACTAGACTATAGACTAGACTATAGACTTAGACTAGAATATACTAGACTATAGACTATAGACTAGACTATAGACTAGACTATAGACTAGACTATAGACTAGACTATAGACTAGACTATAGACTAGACTATAGACTAGACTATAGACTAGGCTATAGACTAGACTATAGACCAGACTATAGACTAGACTATAGACTAGGCTATAGACTAGACTATAGACTAGACTATAGACTAGACTATAGACTAGACTATAGACTAGACTATAGACTAGACTATAGACTAGACTATAGACTAGACTATAGACTAGACTATAGACTAGACTATAGACTAGACTATAGACTAGACTATAGACTAGACTATAGACTAGACTATAGACTAGACTATAGACTAGACTATAGACTAGACTATAGACTAGACTATAGACTAGACTATAGACTAGACTATAGACTAGACTATAGACTAGACTATAGACTAGACTATAGACTAGACTATAGACTAGACTATAGACTAGACTATAGACTAGACTATAGACTAGACTATAGACTCTAGTCTATAGTCTAGTCTATAGTCTAGACTATAGACTAGACTATAGACTAGACTATAGACTAGACTATAGACTAGACTATAGACTAGACTATAGACTAGACTATAGACTAGACTATAGACTAGACTATAGACTAGACTATAGACTAGGCTATAGACTAGACTATAGACTAGACTATAGACTAGACTATAGACTAGACTATAGACTAGACTATAGGCTAGACTATAGACTAGACTATAGACTAGACTATAGACTAGACTATAGACTAGACTATATACTATAATATGTACATACTATTATATTATTGCGAAAATGTTCGATATCAAAAAGTACTAATTTTCCAGGTCTGACGAGTCATTCACCTCTTATGTATAAAAACTAAATACAACAACAAATAACAATATATCTGTTACAACTTTCCGTTGATACAACTGTGAAGGCAATGGGTTGGGAATCTGGTCGTTCTGGAGTGGAAATCCAATTGTCGTGGGAACGCCATGATGTCAGCACAGTTCCTATGTACATAATAACAAAAATTCTTATTTCATAAATTGTTTCGTAATATTTACTATATCTCCGTTATTATTAGGATAGGAAACTTCTCAAAATCATTTCTGATAGAATTATTAAATAATATGGTTGAATATGTATATAAATCTATTTAGATTTTAACGAACATACAGATATATAGACGGAAATAGTTAATCAACTATCCGTAAGGATCCAGATATTTTATAGGACTGAATTACATTGTAGAAATTGCAAACGGAATGAAACACTCATCTGTCTTCAGATAATTGATTTCAACAAACATACAGATTGACAGGCGGACATATCGTAATCGACTATCTGTAAAGATCTTGATATTTTATAGGATAGGATGATTATATTGCAGAAATTGCAAACGAAATGAAAGACTCATCTTGATCATTATGTTTCTCAATTACAAATGTCCATTTAGAATAATATATAACTTTAGATCTTTTACAGATGTCTGCTTGACTCGAGAAACATAACAAATTAGGAAAGAAAAAAATATATGAACCTAACTCTTACACATCCTTAAACACTTTACTTGGCCCAGTTTTCAATAAAAGTATTCCTTTAAAATACATTAAGAACAACTGCTTTAAAATATTCATAGAAAATTAAAACCCTCATTGCTACAATTTTATTCAGTCATTCATTCATGCATCCATTAATACATTTCTGTGTTGACTTTTTTATTTCTTTCTGTTCGCTTTTAAAAAGGTGCACAAAAATTCATTATTAAAATAATAAAAAAATATATATGTATATGTATATAAAATTGCAGAACAAAGTTGAAAAAAAGCAGCAATAAATAATAAAACAAAAATAATGGAAAAATAAAATATTTAAAAAATCCTCTTTAATTTAATTAAAAATAACATAATTAAAAAAAACATAACACTTTAGTGTTGGTTTTAAATTGAAAATCATTTGAAAGAAAAAGCCCGTCGTATAGAAAATATTTTACTGTCTACAAAAATATTAAAGGATAAGTGAAATTAGAATCAGGTAAGTTTATTATTATTATTTTTTTTTTTTTGTGTGTAAAATACAAAAAAAAAATCGATTCATTATATTTTGAAAACTAGAAAAAAAAGAAAACTTGTCTGCTACATTTAATATCAAACCCATCATCATACTTGAGAGAGATTTATACAATATGTGTTGATGACAGTTATTTGAGAGTATTTATTCTTAAAAATTGTTTTAAAAAATCTCAAAATATAAGCTTGTTTTAAAAGAATGTCTGATTTCAACAAAAGTTTGTTTATAACTTTTATAAATTTGTTGTTAATGTAACAAGTAAAACTACGCAATTTTTTATCCGGGGGTCTAAGCCTACAAATTTAAGCAACTTATGCTGGATAAGTCCATAAATTACTACATAAAGTAGGCTGAGATAGACAGTTAAATATGAAGGGATATCACCGATCACATGCTTGGCATACATAAGGGACTGCACGGTCTATGCGGGACATGTAGACGTTAAAGCTGTGGCTGCATCCCGACCTTAGCTGTGACAGTGATGCCTTTAAAACCGCAGTATTTATGGTGTCTTTCATAGTTTGATGTTAAAATTGGGATGACTCCTCCTTGACTCATTTGCTCATTTAGGTGTTAAAGTTGGGATAACTTTTACTTAGTGATCGGGATATTAGCGTTTATAAGTGAATTTTGACCTTCAAGTGATTCTCTGAAGAGGACTTTGTATAGGGGATAGGGCAAAATAAGAGTATGCGCCAAATTTCATAAAATTATCTTGGAAGTTGCGACCTGTGCGCGCAAAGTTTACATGGACACACAGACGGACAGACAGACAGACGGACGGACGGACATAGTTAAATCGACTCAGAAAGTGATTCGATTGGTATACTTTAAGGAGGGTGTATTCTTGGGTGTTACAAACCTCAGCTCAAATGCATAATACCCTCCCCCGCTATAGTGTTGTAGGGTATAAAAATATTCAAATGTTTTACCCCTAATTTATTTTATTTGCAAGGCAAAATTTTCAATAGATTAATTAACTGCATAATATGGTATTTAATCTAAATTATACTTGACATTATAAATAACACTTGAATTAAGAGTAACAATCTACGTATAAAAATGTTAACTATTTATAGTAAAATATTATAATATGCATTTTAGATAATAATAAACTGATAAGAATTTCTGTTAAAGGAAAGAGAATAATTCATATAAAAAAGTTCGCAAGAGGTTTATAGTCAAGTTAAAGAACCTAATGACAATCTAATTACAAACATCATAAACAAAGTGGGATAATTTTGTAATTTGTTTTACTTATTATTTCCTAAAGATTTAATTCTTTTTTAAGATGGTTTGTAGTGTTTGTGGCACAAAAGTATAAGTACATAATATAGAATATTTCACATATTTAGTATATGGTCCTTCTTCATAATAATAATAATAAAAAAATATATTTTGTTTTTGATGTGAGGCTTGTAAACATCTCGTATATTATAACATTTATATATTATTTCCTTTTCAATATAAATACAAGGCAGCGTGTGTGTGTGTGTGTAGAGAGAACATGTAGCACATCCTTACTAACATAATGTGCTTTCAATACACATGCTACGACTTTTTTGTTGCATTTCATTTCTTTTTTTTATTCGCCTTGGGTACAATTTTATATTATTTTATTCAGTTTTCTTTTTTTATGATTATATATATATTTTTTATATATAAAATATATTTTTTGTTCCTAGATGGATGACAAGCAAGTATCGATTCTTGTGTCTTCCTTTTTTGGGTTTCAGGTTATCTCCGGTTCATGTTTGTTGGTCGTTGTAGTCATTGTTGTATCCATTCACATTTTTAAGTGTGTTAGTGTAAATGGTTACACATCTCAAGTAGTTTCATCATCATCATCATCTGCATTCGTTGTATGTACAGGAATATGAATATATAATACGAATAATACGTATGATAATATGTTGTCGTTCGTTGCTGTTGTAGTATTTAACAACAAGGAAAACATTTGCATTTCATTACGAATTTGTAGTATGTAGAGTGTAGTGTGTGTGTATAGTTTCCTTAAGTCGTGCAAGAACAAAGTTTTATTTCTCACACAAACTTATACAAACTACTTAAAAAGATGTCGTAGAGTTTTTTTTTCGAGAACTAGAGCAAACTTAGAAAAGTACATTATTATTATATTTAACTTTTTAACATGTTAACAGATCACTGATTTTAATTAAATTTTAATGTAGCCTTTTGCTTTCTACCGAGAACTGAGTGAAAGAAAGAAAGCAACTGAACATTGAATAATTGCTGAATACTACTGAATAGTATACTTAATATTAAACTAGAATAGTGCAAGTATTGAGAAACAATGCAAAAAACAAAATTGATTTAGCGCTCAAAGTCATAGAAAATCACATTACTCTCAATTTCTTTTTAGTTTTTCGTTGTTGGCATAATGCAGTATAGAAAATGAAATAAAATTTATTATTGCATAATCATTAACACAAGCAATCCCTTTTTTAGAAAGAGTATTTTAATGCAAAGAAAAAGTAGGTACATGAGAAGACTAATACAACAACTACACAAACATTTTAAATAATGCTAATAAAACTAGGTGAAGCGGAAGTGACACTGCTGCTGAGAAGTTAAGTAAAAAATGCAAGTGTTAGAGAGAGAAGAAGAAGCAGAAACTTAAGATTTAATTTAGAATTCTTATACAAAAAGAAAACTTTTTATTTATTTTTATTCTTGTTGCTGTCGTAGACAAATAGTAGTGAATAGGGAAAAGCAAATAAAACTTAGTAATGCAAATGGATTTTAGTTGAGAACAATAATTACAATTTAAGCCATGTACTAAATGTGGAAATCTCTTTAACCCCTAATGATATACTTTTAAAAAATTATCTCTAGAAATTAAAATTTTAAGTAAAACTACTACAAATCGGATTATAGACTAGACTATAGACTAGATTATAGACTAGACTATAGACTAGACTATAGACTAGACTATAGACTAGACTATAGACTAGACTATAGACTAGACTATAGACTAGACTATAGACTAGACACTAGACTATGACTAGACTAAAGACTAGACTATAGACTAGACTATAGCTAGACTATAGACTAGACTATAGACTAGACTATAGACTAGACTATAGACTAGACTATAGACTAGACTATAGACTAGACTATAGACTAGACTATAGACTAGACTATAGACTAGACTATAGACTAGACTATAGACTAGACTATAGACTAGACTATAGACCTAGACTATAGACTAGACTATAGACTAGACTATAGACTAGACTAGACTAGACTATAGACTAGACTATAGACTAGACTATAGACTAGACTATAGACTAGACTATAGACTAGACTATAGACTAGACTATAGACTAGACTATAGACTAGACTATAGACTAGACTATAGACTAGACTATAGACTAGACTATAGACTAGACTATAGACTAGACTATAGACTAGACTATAGACTAGACTATAGACTAGACTATAGACTAGACTATAGACTAGACTATAGACTAGACTATAGACTAGACTATAGACTAGACTATAGACTAGACTATAGACTAGACTATAGACTAGACTATAGACTAGACTAGACTAGACTATAGACTAGACTATAGACTAGACTATAGACTAGACTAGACTATAGACTAGACTATAGACTAGACTATAGACTAGACTATAGACTAGACTATAGACTAGACTATAGACTAGACTATAGACTAGACTATAGACTAGACTAGACTATAGACTAGACTATAGACTAGACTATAGACTAGACTATAGACTAGACTACTAGACTAGACTACTAGACTATAGACTAGACTATAGACTAGACTATAGACTAGACTATAGACTAGACTATAGACTAGACTATAGACTAGACTATAGACTAGACTATAGACTAGACTATAGACTAGACTATAGACTAGACTATAGACTAGACTATAGACTAGACTATAGACTAGACTATAGACTAGACTATAGACTAGACTATAAACTAGACTAGACTATAGACTAGACTATAGACTAGACTATAGACTAGACTATAGACTAGAATATAGACTAGACTATAAACTAGACTAGACTATAGACTAGACTTTAGACTAGACTATAGACTAGACTATAGACTAGACTATAGACTAGACTATATACTAGACTATAGACTAGACTAAAGGCTAAGCTATAGACTACGCTATAGTTGAAACTACAGTGATAAAGCCGAACTTTTGATAAAAGCATAGTACCAACACATCTTAAAACTTATATGCAGAGAAGCCCAATATATAGAGAATGCTTTAAAATTTAGAAAACATTTGAAAATTTGAAAAATATATTATTTGATTTATTTTATTTCAGTGAAACTTGTATTACTGTTGTTAAGCGTATTCATTCATAATTCTTCTAAATAAAAACTAAATAGAAAAATTTAAATGACTTACATGTTTGGACAGCTTCCTTTCTCTGCTGAATTTTTTACTTTCAATTCAAGTTGTCGAGGTAGTTAGTGGTTCTACATTACAATTCCAGACTGGTAGACCACGACAAACATAGGGTACAGTATTATAGAGTTTTGGTTCACACACACGCTGATGAACTCTGGCTAAAATGGTACACAAACTACCCACATTATAATTGGGTGTGGTGGCCACAGATGGTGGTGTTGTACTAGACTTTGCCGTAGTCGTACAAGTTTTGGCTATTGTTATAAATTTAAGCAAAATGTAAAAGGAAATAATTATTGGATGCTTAGTACAATATTTTCCACATGCATACATGTGTCAGTACATTTGTACATTTGCTCTACTTACGTTTAATGATAAATTCTTTTATCCAGGCTCTTTCATCAATTTCATTCCAGGGCAAAACATTTGTAGATTTGGGTGCAATCCAACGACTAAGTATTTCCGTGGCTATCTTATCCATATTACAATCTAGGCCAGGCATTAAAGTGCCAACTAACGCAGGACTAATAACACACACACGACATTTGTTCATTCATGCATGCACCAAAATAATGAAGCATAAAAGGAAAAGTAGAAAAAAATGGTTATAAAAAAACCCATTGACCAATACAAATTATTTAGTAGAGTTCAGAAGTAAAAAGTTTTCATTATTTATTGTTTCCTTACCACATTGCTGCCTGATAGTACAAATGAGGTCCTACTAATTCACTATACAGGCCACTTGAATGTAGACGTGAGGAATCACAACCAAATAAAAAAACCACACAATGCATTTGATGTTTGGTAATTTTGCGACCATTTATATATTGTAAACCAGAACCATGACCAGCATAGCTGCAAGAAAATAAGATTTCATCTTAGACACACACACTCATAAACTTATGCACACATATGCTGCCCTCAATATACATATACAATTGTATATTGAAACGTACACATAACAACTGCGACTTAAATACTTATTGAAGAGTTCATCTTGGTTCGGTCGTTGTCCCACTAACATTGTCCAATGCGGTGTCCAATATTCAAAAAAACTAACCATACGTGACTCCATTTTGGGTAAATTTTTATCTAGTTCATTGAAACGACAAAAGTATATAGAAATTGTTAGAAAATTTGTTGGAAATGGAATATTTTGTTATTTTTTTTTTTATTTAGTTGATACCAACCTGGATTTAGTAGGCAACAACCATCTGTTATATTGACACATAAATAACCTTGTTTTATGTCCGATTTGTAATAATGATATAAACGATATAGACATTGTATGGAATTAACACGGGTAAACTCTTGTTGAACATTGATTTCTTCCCAAAAGAAATGATCTAGGCGCTAAGGTAATGAAATTGATTTTGAAGTATGTTAGTAAAGCATTTTTGTAATATATTCAAAGAGGGAAAAGATAGTCTGGGGTCTAGATCAATTAATGTCTTTTCAATAGAAAGTGTTTGAACGTGCACGCATCTATAAGTTTCCTTCTTACTATTAAGGAAAAAGTTGTTTCTAAGACAATTGTAACAAATTAAAAAATTTTATTTTTTGTAAAAAGTTAAACATTCGATTATTGATTTAAAACTGCATATTTTTAAATAATTAATTTATTATTAAAAATACAAATTCAATTTTTTACTAAAAATTCAAAAAATTCAAATTTTCACTGAGTAAAGTTTTCAGTGTTTTTATACCCACCATCAAAAAAGATGGGGGGTATATTGATTTTGTCATTCCGTTTGTAACACATCGAAATATTGGTCATAGACCCACAAAAGTATATATATTCTGGGTCCTCATTAAATTCTAAGTCGATCTAGCCATGTCTGTCCGTCTGTGTGTCTGTCTGTTGAAAGCACGATAGAGTCCCAATGGAAAGAGCTAGAGGGTTGAAATTTCACATAAATATTTCTTACAGGTAAGGTTTGTTTGGTATTGAAAATGGGCAATATCGGTCCACATTTTCTGATAGCCCCCATACAAGTGGCCCCTCGAAAAGCAGCTTTAACAGCCATAACTTGTTTAAAAATACGAATATAGCGATAAAATTCGACATAAGTAAGTTTCTTATGATCCAAAATCATTATGCAAAATTTTATGTGGATCGGTCCATAATTGACCCTACCCTCCATATAAGGTCCCCTTCAGAAAATGACTTTAACGCTCATTAATGGCTTAAAAATACGAGTGTAGCGATGAAATTCGACACAAATAAATTTAATACGAACCAAATTCTGTCTACCATATTATATTAGGATCGACCCATAATTGACCCTACCCCTTATATAAGGTCCCCATCAGAAAATTACTTTAACGCTTATAACTGGCCTAAAAAATACGAGTATATAGATGAAATTCGACATAAGTAAGTTTCATTCTAGTCAAACGAGGTTTGATGGTGGGTATATAAGATTCGGCATAGCCGAATATAACACTCTTACTTGTTTTTTTCTAAAATTTTAAATTTCACTAAAATTTTGATATAAAATCCGAAATTTGCTAAAAATTAAAAAAATAAACAATAATTAATTTTTTTCCAAAAATTCAATTTTTCTCTAAAAACTAAATTTTTCATTAAAAATTTGATTTTTGCACTAAGAATGCAAAGTTTTAATAAAAATTTGAAATATTTACTAAAAATTATAATTTTTACAAAATGTGAATCCGAAAGTGAATTGAAAAATTGTGCAAGTTTTAGATTGGAAGCTACTAAAATATATAGAATGATTAGACCAGTTCCTAGAATGTGTAAATGAAATAAATACATACCTCATCAACAATTAAAATACATGGAAAATGTTGCACTTTGTTTCCATTGCTACTGTCTAGAAGAAAAATGTATACAAGAGTAGATACATAACTATTATAGCCAGTGTTCCATAGATCAATTATTAATTATATATAGATGAATTTTACTCATAAAGCGTTTACATTCCATTAAATAATTAATTAAAATTAAAAAACTATAATGAAAAACTTACCAGTTTCCGTTTGCATCTTTTTCAACATATCACATGCAATGGCATGATCCTTAGAATTTGTAGTAAGTATAGAACAAATATCCTCTATTTGTACTAAATCCAAAGATTCTGCATTAGAAGCAGCCAAAGATAGTAAGACCCTAGCATCACTCTCCCAACCATACATATCACAAAATTCGTCAACCTTTGACCAACGTTGACGTGCTAGATTTTGTTGAGACTTTGAAAAGGCTATACCAGTAAATAAAAAATTCCACGGATAGAAAAAATTGCACAAATCCGTACAGGTAGTCTTAAGAAAAAACCCCCAAAAAAAATTATTAAGGAATTTACAAATTTTATATAAATCAGCTTACTGCTATAAATTGATTAAGCTCCTCCAAGAGTGACCAATAGAAACGTTTAGCCTCGGTGGTATTAACTTCTTTGGGATCTATTTTAACACATTGTTGAAAACGACTGACTATACAGCCGAAACTTTCATAAAGTTTCTTTTGTTCGGCACTAGAGAAACGCAAACATATAGGCGTACTATATTCCGCACTACGGCCATGTTTTATTAAGGTCATATATATGGCAGCATCACTTTCATGGATTTTGGGAAATATGGAATAGGTGGTTTCTGCCCGGGGACCTTTACACAATTGGATAATAGTCCATTCTGGCATTAAGGGAAAATATTAATCAATGAATAAATGATAGGTGTTATTTTAACTTACCCTCCGGTAATTGTTCACAAATTTCTACTAATTTTGTTATGCCCTCCGCGGGACTTGTTATATCTTTAAGAAAATTGCAATTTTCTAGACTATTGGAGGCTTGCGCAGATGACTGCTTGATTTTAGTCTTTTGAGACATTTTTGTAAGTGATTTACTAACATATTGCATAAGGGAATTGCTGGAAAAACATAAAGTAATAAATAACTTCACATTTGAAGTTCTGCAGGTTTGACACTTACCTGCTAAACTCCGAAATTTCTTTGGCATTCATTTCAGCCATTAAAGTCTCCACTTCGGCCTTGTTAGACATTTCAGCCTTATTTTCATTACACTTTCCGGAACTATGATTGTAACGCTCTTGCGAGGATTGATACAAAGAATAGGTTTGATAAAATATTGAGGCAATCATATTACCATTACAATATTCACTTTCCGCCTGTTGCAATAGAATTTCTAATTGACACAAAATATGACAAATTACATACAACCATAATTGTTTTCCATGAAATTATTCTTTTACCTTTGGTATTGGGCCCAATATTTGTAGAAATACCATCTTTAACTAAAAATTTCAAGAATTCTTCATCCATATCGCAGGAAAAAACTTATTAACTTAACATTAAATGGTGATATAAACAAATTTTGTGAAAAATTATAATTCAAAACTTCCAATTAGCGTACTTTTCAAAGACGCGCAAAAAACTAAAATGAAATGAAGAACAAGAATAAACATGTTTGTTTAGAAAGAGCCGAGTAAAAGAAAATTAAAAGAAATAATATGAAACACCATGTTGTTGGTTTAATATATATACAACAGGGTGTTTATAATACACACAAAAACATAAATAAATATGTTATATTGCGCCATCTATATTTCATTTAAAAATGAAATGTACGCTTATCAAAGACAATTTTTATTAGTTTAATTCAACAGTGACTAACAGATGGCGCAATATATGAGACATGTTTATCAATCAATTATGAGGATTTTTTGGGGAAAATTATGGGGATTTCAATTTAAAATGGGGATTATTGGGGACTTCTAACCAGTGATTATTGGGGACATGAGTGAAAATTTTTCTTACAACACTGATTGCGAGACTTGTCTCACAAACTGCGTCATCTGGTATTAGTAATAAAAACTGTACATTTAATTTTTTAATGAAACATAGATGTTGCAATACAACTAGGGTTCTATAAATCTTTCGAATAATCGAACAATCGATTTTTTGTCGAAAAAAGTCGAAAAGTCGAAGTCGACTATTTTGTTCCAAAAAAGTCGATAACTCGACTATCGTCTGCGAAAAAAGTCGAAAAGTCGACTTTGTTAATAAAAGTCGAAAAGTCTGAAAACCGAAAATTCGAAAAAAATCGAAAAGTTGGAAAAAGTCGGAAAAAGTCGAAAAAAGTTGAAAAGTCGAAAAATTCGAAAATTGTAGAAAAAAGACAAAAATAGTCGGAAATTTTAAAAAAGTGGAAAATAAGACAAAAGCTCTAAAATAGTCGGAAAAACTCGAAAAAAATAAAAAAATAGTCGAAAAAATAGTCGAAAAAAATTTGAAAAAAGTCAAAAATAGTCAAAAAGTCGAAAAAAATCGAAAAGTTGGAAAAAGTCGAAAAGTCGACTATTTATAAAATACAGGCGAAAAGTCTAAAAGTCGACTTTTAATTAAATGAAAAAAGTCGAAAAATCGACTTTTCATAAAAAGCAAAAACTAAACTAAATGAAAAAAGTTGAAAAGTCGAAAAGTCGACTTTTCGTTTCAACTATAGAACCCTAAATACAACATACTATTGTCACAGCGTAGTATTAAATTAATATTAATATACTGTTATACTTAAAAAGCTCTAGAATAAACTGTTATATAGACAGAAATCAGTTATAGAAACAGATTTCGATGGAATATACTGTTATACAAACAGTTTTACATAAAAAAACAGTCATGCAGGCTGATTTGCACAGGAAAAACTGTTATACAACATATTTTCATAAAAAAATCTGTTATAGGAACGGATTTCTATAGAAAATATTGTTATACAAATTATTTGCAAAATTGTTGAATAAAATAAACTGTTATACATACAATTTTCTATAGAAAAACTGTTATACTAAACATTATTGGTGAAAAAAACTGGGTTTTAAAAGTGATCTATGGAATAAACTGTTATAAAGACTACTTAGTGCCGGTTCACACAGGTAAACTTTTAATATGAAACTTTTGATTTTGTATGTGAGAGAAAGAGATGGTAGATATGTCTATCTCTTATTTTTATAAAATTATCTGCTCCTTAGAAAAATGGCGGATATTAAGATAGTTTTTCATTAAATAAAACTGTTATACAAACTGTTTTATATAAAAACAGTCATGCAGACTGATTTTCACAGAAAAAACTGTTCTACAAACATATTTTCATTGAAAAAATCTGTTATAGGAACGGATTTCTATAGAAAATATTGTTATACAAACTAAGCTAATACTAAATTGTTGAATAAAACAAACTGTTATACATAAAATTTTCTATAGAAAAACTGTTATACTAAAAATTTTTTGTGAAAAAACTGGTTTAATTTTTAAACGATTTATTCATAATAAAGTGATGTTCAGTAAGAGGAGTTATATGGAACAAAGGAGTCGCTTATGGAGCAATATTTTTGTAATTCGAGGTCCTTCCGATTCTTTTCTATCGCGTTTTCAACAGACCTTTCTAATGATATTTATAATTAATAATAAAACTACAACTTGTTTGAAGATGAGATGAAATATATTAGAAAAGTTGCAATTTTCAAATTAATAACATTGATTGCTCCTACAAATGCAATGTAAGATCAAATAAACATTATGCCTATTTCGTAAAATATTAAAGCAAACTGAACATGCCTTTAGCTTCAAGAGTTAATTAAAAAAAAGAAGGATAAAAAGTAAATATGAATGTATAAAATAGTATCTGTGTATAGTTCTCATGTAAGTGTGTGTGTGAGTTTGTAACAACAATATTTGCCGGCTGCAAAAATGCAGTTGTTTTTGTATTTCTTTATTAGCAAGCTTTTTCGCAACTTTCTAAAAAAAATCTGTGTCAAACTATCAAACATTTTGGCGTTAGGGAACCACACCCTCTAGATGCCCTAAAAAACTATGTCATTTACACACACACACAAGCACACACGCACATGCATAAAATACACATACATTCATACATACATATTTGAAACACAAACAACTTTAAAAGATAGTTTTTATAAAAATATTGTGTGTGTGTGTGTTTTTTTATTTACTTTGTGTTTGATAAGCTCCAAGAGAAGCTTTTGATTTTTAACATTTAACATACACACACAGGGGCGAGTGTAACACAGTGTGTGTGTGCATTGACTAGGGATGCGATGCTCTGGTAGGTACTTCAGCATCTAAATGAAATTTCTGACGAGGCTGCTGGTTAAAGATGCTGATGATGTTTATTCTACTCTCTCTTTTGCCTTTTTTGTATTTAAATAATACACACGTTGTTGTTGTTGTTTTTAATTAAAACGTAAACCCTACAAACATTTTCTATTGCGGAAGTTACCCGTATGAAACTTCCAAACGTGTTAAAAGCTCGCCAGCGATGTTGCGGAAGTATAAGAATTCTTGTCACCAGTCGGGAAGAACTGATGCCGAGCTGGGGAACGTCTAAGAGTAACGTGGAAGATACTTCTGGAAGACCCGCAGAAGAAACTTCTAGATGACTCTTGGAAGTAAGGTATTGCCAAAGACTCTTCTAGATGTGACTAGGAAGTCACTTCTTGAAGTGACTACCTAGTATCATCTAGAAGTGTTCCTATCTTATCTTCTAGTAGATGAGTTTTCTCTTCTTCTAGAAGATGAGTATTCTCGTCTTCTAGAGGATGAGTATTCTCGTCTTCTAGAAGATGAGTTTTCTCTTCTTCTATTTGTATACTCACCAAAATAAAATCTATAAAAATAAATCTAAATAAAATGAAATTTTATAGTTTTTATTGAAATAATTGAAATTAAAATAGTAGAAAAAATAATTGATTTAACAACTAATCTAAAAAAAGTAATATATGTACATTAGACGGGCTCACAAAAAATGGTGCTTGAGTTACCCCCCTCAAAATATTCGCTGTTATGTAATATGATGATTCTTCATGTTAAATTCAATATTTTACCCAGCTTCAAAAAATCTTTGTTATGTTTTATAATGGTTCCCAAAATATTTCTATCGATGGCCGTTCGTGAGCTGAACCGGTTACAAAAAAGTCCCTTTTTAGTTATTTTGTTTTAAATTATACAGCAGTTCTTAATCAATATATACAGTATGTGGTATCATTTGAAAGGTTTTTTGAAGTCTAGTGGTGCGCAAAATTGTACATACATTTTATTTTTTCTTAGTGAAAAACCTAACATTTTAAATATTTTGGAATATGACAATTATAAACAGACGGTTATTTATGATTAATACATCATAGGACGCGGCTTTAAAATACCTTTAAAACGATACCCCGTATTGGATATTTTGTTGCAAAACAAACAAAAATTAAAAAAAAAATAATTCCAAAATATCTTTTATTGATTTGGTCCAGCTCACGAACGGTCATCGCTAGACTTAAAATATTTTGGGAATTTTGAGAGGGGTAACAAAAACACGTTTTTGCTTTCCATACAGAGTGAGCCGGTCTAATGTACATATGTATCAAAAATTTAGAATTATTACCTTATAATAAGATAATTTTCAGGAATTGTAAAACGTTGGACTCTAAAATATTTTTGTAGTTCTTCATAAATTTTATGATCAATCCATCAAATTGTAAGAGTTATATTTTGGAACACATTAATCCTTCAATGAAATAAACAAAAATAATGTTATAATTAATATTGAATATATGTACATAAGTACTTTTGTATTTGTTGAAATTACCTGTTACACTTTAGGAAGCAATAAAAATAGGATTCTCTTATGATCAATACATTTCCCACCAAAGTTTAAACGGTCAGATCCATTTTTTACATTTTCTGCAAATAATCGACATTTTTAATGGAACCGCGTGATGAAATAAGACATATATAACTTACCAGATCCCTTTTTTATATTTTATTTCAGTTAGAAGTATTTTAATAGGGGGTACAATATTAGCTACTGCTTTCTAAAAAAAATAAAATAATTAAAAATTAATTAATTAATTTATTTATTGTTTTGAATCAATAAAAACATTACCTTTCGTGAACATTTTTTAAATAACTTGGAACTAAACCGTCTATAAAGATCTGAAATTACTAAGTCATGGATCATTTTTAAAATTATTTACAATCACTAACGATAGAAACACCTTAACGACCCTAAACAGGATATTGCTTTTGACACTAATACTGCAATACTATTTTTTGTTTGCTTTCTTCTAATTAAGGAGTTATACACGTTCAAAAACTGTCTACTTAGGTTCAATATATTGGGAATGGCATGTTCAATATTAATAATATTAGTATCATATAAAGGTCATAGAAAGACCTGGTGTTAATAATTAAAAAGTACCTATAATTAAAATAATTAAATCCAAAGCTATATGAAAATTAATAGAATTGTATTTATTTAAAAAAGGTGGTTTTAAAAATATCTGATTTTAATATTAAATATCTTATATAGGCAATTTCGTGTCGAGTGACCCAAGTCAAAAAATAATTTATGTATGTATAAAACAGTAGTATTAATTTGA